TTTCTTCAAATTCTTGCTTTGTCAGAGAATCATAAATAGCATCTTGCATTGCTGCTTTTATGTGGTCATATGTTTTGTGACCCTTTAGGCTGTCTAGTAGCTTTTTCATTACTTGTGACAAACACCAACGGTGTCTAGTATTGGGGAATACAACATCAATTGCTTTTGCCATTGACTTGTGTTCATCTGTGATTATGGCAGTCGGGGCACGTCCAGACATACATGCAAGCCATGTCTTAAACAACCACAGAAATGTCGCAGGGTCATCATTTGATAGCAATGCACATCCAAGCAAGATTGGCTGCCCATGATGATTCATCCCTATGAAAGATGTTAAGGGCAATTCATACTTATTAGACAAGTATGTTGTGTCAAATGTAACTGCGTCACCGAATTCTTCATACATTGCCCTACTCCTTGCATCAGCCCAGAACACATTATTGATCCGAGCATCATCGTCCATATCCACCATATAAAAGAAATTTGAATTCTTGATTTGCATACGAACAAAATAGTCCTGGATTGCTTTAGCGTCTCCCGCCCTAAATTGCAGCCAACTTCCTTTCTCCGAGTAACTCACGCAATCATTTTCTAGTAATTTGACATCATCACAGCCTCCAACTTCAAGTGATTGATGAGTGTTCCTCGCGCCAATCACTGTTTCATCATTGAGTTTTCTCCGTACACCTATAACTTTTTCCCTATTGCATGAATAAAATTGAGACTTACTTGGACTCAGTTCATGATTGTGATTAAGTGCAACAGAATTTATCTTACACTTTCCATCTTCAAACATGGTAGCATTAACTCTAGCCTTGCACTCAATTCTCGTTAGTGGATTTGGAGTCAGGTAATTTTGCTTATGAGACATTGACTTCCCTGCGCGGTTGCATGACAAAGACATGAATTTCAATTTCCCACAAGGCGAAGGACGTGACGTTTTCTTCTTAACTCCAAAACCTTCTTGTCTGCCATATTGTCTATAGTACTCGTAAAGGGAATCCAACGAGTCGAACACCATTCCAGTTTCGGGGGCTTTTATAACCTCATCATGGCAATCCGATCCATTCTCCGTCTCATTCTCATTCAAAGCTACCTTGCCACTAATATCCTTGAATGAAATTACAACTTCTTGCATTCTAAACACCTCGTCACTGCAGCACAGAACCAATAAACTAAAACAATTTAAGCTATTGTATTTATCAAAAATCCAAACGCGAAAAATATCGGATCGCTATTAGAACATAAAAGGACGTCAGTAAAGAAAAATTGAAATTTGAGATTGATAACAAGGCCCGCTCTTAGCCATGCCCAGAAGTAAAAACAGTCTTAAAGACGGTACCATTTAAAAGTTAAAGCTATAGCAAAAATAACTGTTCAGTTATGAATTAAATTTTTTTCTAGATATTACCACACCAACATATAAATTTAACTCATGAAAATTTCATCTATCCTAATTCCTAACTCCATAGGTTAAAGGACCCATGAAAGAGCTAATGCACTTGAGTAACATGACATAGAAGCCCAAAGTCAAATCTTTAGTGATATTCACTAAAAAAATAAAAATAAAAAATAAAAACCTTAAGGGGGTTACAAGCCCAAATAAAAAAAGATAAAAACAAAAGTGCATAGTTTCAATTAAAGATATATACAACGACAACGACAAGAAAACTCGTAAAATAAAGCCGGTAAATTGCTGGAACCCGAAACCTAAAATGCAAGCATACTTTCGAGTTGGTTCGTGAATTCAAACCGAAATTCAAGCTCAAAACAAGAATTTAGAATGGGGGAAAACAAAAAGCCTTACTTACCGAACAATCCCTCAGGTGTGCCGAGTAACAGAATTAGCTCAATTCGGAAACACGAGAAGAATGCGAGGCTTGATTTCAATGTTTACGAGGAGAAAATGGGGGAATCGGAGCAGAGGTTGAAGACGATGAACAGGAGCGAAATCGAGGCGGTGAGGGACCAAAATGAAAGGGGTTTTGGATCGGATTCAGAATACAGCTGAAAATTCTAGGATGGTTTAGAGGAGGAAGGTTTGGTAAGCCATGCAGAATGCAGATGTGCGAGAGAGAGAGAGAGAGAGAGAGAGAGAGAGAGAGAGATCAGAAATGGTGGCAGGGGAGGGGTGAGTTGGGAGTCGTGTCGCCTGACTGGATGGCGTGGCTACTCGTGCCATAGTTGATAGTGGGGGCCAAAAATGGAATTTTAAGAAATGTCTGTCCTTGGGGTTGAACAAGTAATTTTGCGACCTTCTCACGAGTCATGAAATTTTTAACAAAATTAGATGTGACTACGAAAATTTTTTACTCTAATAAAATTTAAATTAGTAAAATAAATAGAGTTTAAGAGTGTGTTTATTTATACAACTTAAATCATAACATGATGAGAAAAATATTGTAATAAAAAATTTAAATTTAAATTTATGTGAAAGAAAACACTGTAATAATATGACTTGAGTCATAATTTGAGTAACGAATGATGTTTGGTTTATAGATTTAGAATTATAATTTATTATTCTTATTTTTAAATTTTAAATTTTTTATGAGAAAAAAATACTGTAAAAAACTAAAAATAATAATTCAAAATAAAAAACAAACCCTTAAAATAAACATTAAAAAAATAAACGAGACCTAAGAAATATAAAACTAATGAAAACTTTTATGGAGATACCGGATATAGAGAATAGAGAGATATATCATATATTAAGGGTCTCTTTAATTCACTGATTCGAGTTGATATGTGATTTTATATGAGAATTTTTTACTATAATAAAAAAATTAAATATAACTTTTTATAAAAATTTTTTATTGTAATAAAATTTAAATCGGTAAAATGAACGGACTTAAATGTTTATATCAAAAGGTACATTCGGTGAGAAATATCTCTATTTATAATAAAATTTAATGTTACTGTGCGTTGATACTATTTTTGCATTCTTCACACGTTGCACCGATTATTAGACAGCCACTGTACTGACTTTTACAACACTTTTTTTATTATTTATTATTTTCTTTTTAGTAAATTGTAATGTTTCACTCTAAATTATTCTTTTTTTTTTTTTTTTTTGCATAATAGGCTCCTGTTAGTTTTGATAAATGCACTTTTAATTTTAAAATTAATAGTAATTAAAATTTAATAATTGATAACATTATTAAATTGACAGTTATAAATACGAAATTTGTATATTATATGATTTAAAAATGACAATCTTTATGGTTTATGTGTGAATTTTGTATCTTAAATTAATTTAATAACGTTCGTCAGCTATTAAACCTTAATTGCCACTGATTTTAAGTTCATGATGCAATTTATTAAAATAAAAACTTAGGATCTATTATGCTAAAAAATAAATAGTTTAGAGTCAAACAATGCGCTAAAACAAATATAATTTAGAGTCAAACAACACACTTTGCTTTTTTTTAGGATGTTTGGTAGAGGGATTCGTTCCCTGATTCGAATCATGATTCGTGGTTCACTACAGTATTTTCTCTCATAAAAAATACATATAAATCGAAAAGATTCGAATCACATAATTTAAATCCTCCAACTAAACATGAACTTAAGTACGTTTAGTATGCGGTAATCTTAAAAATGAGAATAAAAATCTATAATATTACTGAGTTTGCTATAAAAATTATAATTTTTAAATTTCTAAGACTCTAAGAATCCGTTCACTTCGCTGATTCGAGTTTGTAATTCGAGTTGAGATGTGATTTTATGTGAGAGCTTTTTACTGTAGCAAAAAAGTTAGATGTGATTGTTTGTGAGAGCTTTTTACTGTAGCAAAACTCGAATTCTAAACTCGAATTGGTGAAGTGAACGGGGCCTAAAATAATTTGAATACCACCTAAGGTAATTTTCAGATGCATGGGAATCCTAAGAAGGTGAGAATCTCACTAACAGCCAATAGTCACCGTCATTACAGCCACACCACTACACCCATCTTCACAGCCACCGTCCCACATGCTCCGCCAGTCATCACATCCACAGCCCCACCTCGTCGGCCTCCGTTACCAGCATCAAACGGCCAACCGAGCTCCTTGCCAACGTCCCATGACCAGCCCAGCCTCGTGCCAACCACCATCGTGCAACCCAATCACCATCGACCTCCGTCCCGCGAAACCCATACCCCACCTGCCTCCACCGCGCGAGACCCAAACGCCGCCGGCCTCCGTTGCGTGAGACGCAAACCTAGCCGGCCTCTATTGTGTGAGACCCAAACTCCACCAGCCGCCGTCGCTTGAAACCCAGATCTTGCCGTCCTCCGTGCCGCGAAACCCAGAAATCACCGCCCTTCGTCCCACGAAATCCAGACCCCGCCGGCCTCCATGCTGCGAAACCCAAAAACAGCCGCCCTCCGTTCCATGAAACCCCGACCCCACCCCCTCCGTCTTGTGAAAGACAAATCCTGTCGAGTTCGTGACATGAAATCTAGACCTCGCTGGCCGCAAGAATGAGAGGGAAAGAAGTGAGGGAGAGTGATGATTTTTTTAAAAATTTTCATGTAATAAACTTATTTCTTAGATTTTTATTAATTTAAAAATTGTTAGTATTCTTTTATATATTGTTTTTTAATGCAATGGGGTGAAAATTATATTCTCTCAATTTTATAAATTTTAAATATTTAAAATTCTAAATTCTAAAGAAGAATTGTATTATATTATTGTGCGCAACCAAATACAGTAAAATAATATTCTTTAAAATCTAAGACAAAATTTCTATACATAACCAAACATGACAATACATGTTTTCTGAAAATTATATTACCTTCTATCATTTTCCCGGTAATATATTTCCTACTAATTATTGCATACCAAACACCTTGTTTAGACCATCTCGTACCTCAACTAATTTCATGGAACATGTGCATTGCATGTTGTGGTCTCGTACCTAGATATTGTGGCCAAGAAGGTAGATGTGTTAAGGCAACACCTTTCCTTCTACTTGGTTCATGATCTTTTGACTTTCTAGCAACATAGTCTTCAATCTTTTATGCAACGTTTGGTTCATGGGTTCAGAATCATAGTTTATGATTCTGATTTTTGAAATTTAAATTTTTTATGAGAGAAAAACATTATAACAAACTAAGAACTATGATCCTAAATCAAGTCAGAACCGTCAAAACAAACGGAGCATTAGTTTTAGCGAATCAATTTATGATCTCTTGATTTATTGGCCTCCATTGTAGTTAGTTTTGGACTCTTGTTGGATCAAATTGCCAGTAAATCAAGAGATCAAAGATTAATTTGCTAAAATTATAAGTTTGGGAATCAATTTACTATAAACTTAGAAGATCATAAACCAATTATGCTAATTATCTAAAAGCCAATTATTTTTGAAGTTATTAAAAGTCTAAAAGCTACTTTCGAACCTTCTTTGAATCAAAAGACTTTAGACTTATAAACTCTTCTAAAAGTAAGCAAACTCAATAAGCCTTTATTACAAAATGCTTTATAAAAAAAATCATTTTTTTAACAATTTAATTTTTTTATTCGTTAATAAATTAATATTTTCATTCATGTCCTTGTATTACATTTATTTTTTTTATAACAAATGATCTTTTGATTTATTTCACTAAATGGGTTTAAAAACTCTTCTAAATCAATGTATTTTTAATGCATTATCCAAACAGTAATTAAAAGACAATTATTTTTACTTTTCTTCTTTTACTCCTTAAAAATAAAAGGGGCAATGAGATGAATAGTAGATATGTAGAGGAATATAAGTTAATGGCATATTTCACACTAAAAATTTTAAAATCCCAGAATTTACCCTACACCCCTATCTCTTCTCTCTCTCTCTCTCTCTCTCTCTCTTCCTCTTTTATTTCTCCTTGGAACCACAAACGGCAACTCAAATCCACCATCTTGTTCGTCACGCCGACGTCATCACAATGGCGAACCCCAAGCTAGGGTCAATTGGTAATTATACGACTTGAACGTATGTGATTAAAAGCAAAAGCTATCCCAATGTGTCCTTGTATTACATTACTCAAGAATTGCAGCCTTTAGCAACGACTTTTTTTGCGACGGCAACTGTCATCGTTAATTGTCACCCACAGAGTGACGACAAGTCATCGCTAAAGAAGCTAGTCGTTCCTTCGTAAACCCACTCTGTCATTGATTTATGGAAACAAAGGGTGAAGATTTATTACGACGATAAGTTGTCGCTATAAGTGGTGTCAGAAAGTACAACAAATCGTCGCTATATGGTTTTGCACACCAACTGGAAAAGCTTGAGAAAATTTCACACCAGTTGACACCTCTTTAGTGACGACAACTTAGATAGACCTCGGGAAACGTAGCATCAGAATTATGCGATCAGGGCTAGGATTTAGCGACGACTTTTGTTGTCGCTAATAGTCCCCCAAAAATATTAGTGGGCTTAGAAATTTTTTGGAAAAATTTCACACTTTTAGCGACAACAATGTCATCGCTAAAAGGGCTCAAATTTTATTTGGCAGACTTATAAAATTTTGGGAAATTTTCATCGTTTGTCAACACTAAAAACTTTTTTTTATGGGGTAGTTCAAAAGTTTTTGGAGACTTTTAGCGACGACTTGTTGTCGCTGAAATGTTGCCCTGACATGCCAAAATTTTTAATGTCGTTGCAACTAAAAGGGATTGCGTATAAACCTAGGATGCAGACCCCTTCTTTCTAATTTTTCTTTACCTCTACCTCCACAACCCCAAAATACCCCAATTTTCTCCCCGTTTGTTTCTTAATCAAATCAGCCCTAACCACCTTTATTTTGAAATTTCTCCTAATTTCAACCCAAAAATCCGAAAAACCCAAATTTCTCAAAACCTTATTGGCCTGAATTTTGGACGCCGTCACTGGAGTTAGTCGCCATCAGTGGTAGCTGACATTGCCCAAAACCAATCACCCCGTTGTTGTGGTGATTAGTTGTGAGTTTTTTGTGTTTTTAATTTGTGTGATTTTGTTGATTTTGATGTTGTTGTGGTAGGTTAGGTTAATTAGGAATTTAATATTAAATTGGTATTGTTAATTTGGTTATGTTAATAGTGATCTTTTTATGAAATATTTGTGTCGTAATTGAATAAGTTATGTTAGTCTTGATTTGTGCACAATTTTGATGTTAGTAGTGATTTTATTAGTTAATTTGGTATTGAGTTGATTTTAGGTGGATATTTTTGTTTAGGTTTTAGGTTACGTAAAAAAGAAATTGAAAATATATATTAAAATAAAAAAAATCTCAAGAGGTTTAGCAAATATTTTATGAAAAATAAGAACAAATAATTGAGAATAAATTTGATATTTACATTAAAATTGAATAAAAATAAAATGTAAAATAATAATATAATAATATCACAACAAATAAAAGAGTAAAATGGTATTGTCATAAAATTTAATTAAAACTAGTGAAGTTAATTAAAAATGTTTACAAAAATAATAACATGTTATAAAACTTAATTAAATAATTAAATGTAATTTTAAAAATGTTTTAAAAAAATTAATGTTCAACAAAAACTATGTAATAACATTTATTAAATAATGACGTATAAAGTAATAAAATAATAAAAAGTATCGAAAAAATAATTAAAAAAATGGCATATTATGAAATTTATTAACACTAACTCTAACTTTACCTTACTAACTCTAATTTTTTATGCGACTACATACATAGTCACAAAATTTCGTACGTGTCTGTGATATTTTTTCTTCATCATATTGCATATATATTTTACTTTTTTGCTACAGTAAAAAGCTTTCACACAAAATCACATCTCAACTCGAATTACAAACTTGAATCAGCAAAGTGAACGGGCCCTAAATATTTGTATATTATCTATACTAAAGAAAAAGTCGGTAATCAACTCGGTGAATAGGAAACATCCCTGTTCATTTTGCTGATTTGAGTTTAGAATTTGAGTTTTGCTACAGTAAAAAGTTCTCACAAACAGTCACATCTAACTTTTTTGCTACAGTAAAAAGCTCTCACATAAAATCACATCTCAACTCGAATTAAAAACTCGAATCAACGAACTAAACGGGCTTCCAGTTACTAGGGATCAACGTCATTCGTCTAACATCAACACAAGCATGTAAGTTTTCATATAATGTTTTCTTTATTTAATTAAATATTTATATTTCATTCTTAATAATTTCTAAATTCATCATTGTGTCACAAGGGAGAGATATCATCAAAAACTTACGGCAGACGCACTACTGTGAGGGGAACAGATGGGCTAGCGATGCGGTTGAGATCGAATTTGTAAGTTAAAGAACCATGTCTCATGTTTTTACACAAGTTTTGTCTACAACACTTCATTGATACATATTATCTTTTTTTAATGTATGTCTAGCTTGAGATGTAGCATTGGTACAATCTGGCGATGCAAGCAGCCATGGAGACGGACGAGGGTTCATTTTCTGCAACTTCAATTCGGGAGGAGATAGCAACAGAGATCCTCAGACAACGACAAGGACACATGAAGGGAGTTCGCCCAACGCTGTCTTAAAGGAACATATTTCACATTCCTCAGCAGCCGTGGCCGTAGCCCAATTACGAAGAGCTCGGTGAGTGGCTTCAATAGAACTACACGTATCTCAACCAAGCCAACATCCATGTCCTTCCCCCACCACGTGCATTTCAACCACCACCACCACCACCACCGGCCAACGACGACGATGACGATGATGCCGCAGACTTAGGGACCCATTTGATGTTATTTCTTGTTTTTAGAGACTCGTTACTTTACTTTAATGTATTAGATACAAGATTAGCAGACATTTCTTTCCATGTTTAATACGTTATCTGAACTTCTAATATTATCACTTATGACTTATATTTAGAATTCGCTTTTATTAATTCATGTGATATGTGATTATTTGTTATTGGGTAATCTTGACAAATACTCTTTCAAAGTGCATGAGTCAGACTTATGTCGTCGCTAAAAATCCAAAATAAAAAATTTTCAAAAAATTTACAAACTTTTAGCGATGACCATTTTAAAAAGTCATCGCTTTTGATACACTATTAGCGACGATAATTTTAAATTATGTCGTCGTTAAATGTTCAAGAACGAAAGTTGGGATGAAAAACTAACAAGTTTTCCGTGACAAAATCAGTAATTTATAGCAACGAAATGATCGTCGTTGTATATGTCTCTTTAGCGACGACAAGTTTGTCGTTGCTAATATATATTTTCAGCAATGGAGCTATAATGACAACTATTTAGTGATGATTTGTCGTCGCTAATTCTTTATAAGCGACGGCATAGCCGCTTTCAGCGACTATAATTGTCGTTGCTAGAAACCGACTTTCAGTGCATATACCTTTTATAACAAAAGGTTTGATTTATTTAACTAAATAGGTTTAAAAGCTCATTCGAAAATAAATTAAATGTAATTTTTCATGCATTGCTTAAACAGTAATTAAAAAGCCACAATTTATACTTCTCTTTTTGTACTGTTTAAAAATAAAAGCAAGAGTTATCCCAGCATTTAGAATAGAGAAATTTAGTGAAGTTACTTTAGAGTGCATGAGACTGAATTTTTACCTCTTACTCTTAATTAATTAATATAGTTCTTTGAGTAAAAAAAATATTAATGAATAATGAGAGTTGTATTTATCTCTTTTTTCAAAAAGAACACTCATTTTTAATCTTGGGCTTGAACGAGTTTTGGGCTTACGTGGCTGTAATTCGGCCCCTCTCCTCTCCCCGAGAATTTGGGGTTATGTTAGCATTCGAGCTTTTGATTATATTTTCTCATGAAAGAAAAACAGAGTAAAATGCAAATTTACATACGCACTTGTACATTAAATGGGGATTCGGTTAGTGACATATACATATACTCGCGGTTAGGATGTTCACGTGTTTTCATTTGAAAAAGTGAAAAAAGAGAAACCAATTGAAAAGAACAATTAATATGGGAGATTAAAGAAACATGGTGCATGGATCTTCTAATCTCAAAAAGTTTGAAAGTTTCAAATGATAAAATCAGCCTTAATAAGAGTCATGGGTTTGCAAGAGCGTTGTTGGCTTGTGACACAAATTAATAAAAGGTGGTGAAAAGTGAGGTGAAACTGTGACCCCTCAATATTAATCAACTGGCTCCTCTCTCTCTCTCTCTCTCTCTCTCTCTCTCTCTCTCTCTCTCTCTCTCTCTCCCATTACATATAGACAGAACTCTCACCCTGTAGCACTCCATTCCAAAACCTCCATCTTCCTTGCCCATTTTTCTCTACTCCTTCATATATCTTCAAATTACCTAATACCCCCCCACTCTTAAATTTTTCACTATTTCTTTTCTTTACATGCATATTCAGGTTGGTTATTAAGGAGTGTATCCTTTTTTCTTCTTATAGCCTCTATAACCCTTCATGTAACTTCAAGTTTAAAGTCGTTTATTTGGATCTCTTTTTAATGATCATGTCTTCCATTTTCCTTTTAATTGTTTCTAGTAACTTTGTTATGTTTACTTTGACTAATGTAATTTCATGTTTCAGGTATATATAATATATAGTTCTAACCTGGAGGACCCAGAGAAAGGTCTAAATCTCATCTCAAGTTTTGTCCATACATGAACAAAACTTGTCATAACATACAGCTAGCCACATAGAAATGGAGAAAGACGATAACTACTCGGTATATAACAATTAATACACACACATACACACAAACACACAATTATTTATTGTATATGCACCATTTTTTTTCAATAAACTTATATCTCTTCGTCATCATCACCATGTTTGCTTTGCCATAAACCTAACTATGATCCGCTGCAGCAGGCTCCGATGCCGCAGAATTTCGTAGCGCTGGATTACACCGTAGATCGGTACCCGCATCATCAACAACAACAATTCATGAAGTCCCACATCCACGAGACTAAAACAGATCATCACAACATTAACAACGAGGGATTAATGGTCAATTACTTGCTGAACAATCCTCACCACCACCACCAACAACAACAACAGCCACAATTGAGCTTTGCCGATGTTATGCAGTTTGCCGATTTCGGGCCCAAATTGGCCTTAAACCAAACCAAGATTCCGGAAGAAGAAGAAGAAGACGATGATCAATCCGGAATGGACCCGGTTTATTTCCTCAAGTTTCCGGTCTTAAACGACAGGAATATCGTAGAGGATCACGACCATCACCAATCTCTTGATGTTGTTCCGCCGCCGGAAGATCATGTCGTTTGTCAATCGATGACTGTTGTGAAAGATAAGGCGATAGCGAGAGAAGATCAAGATCATGACTCGGTGCAGCTTCAGTTTCTTGGCGAAAATCTTGATCATCAGAAGAATCCTACAACGTCTGATCAACCAAATAAGAACAAGAGAAAAAGGCCGAGGACTATCAAGAGCAGTGAAGAAGTTGAGAGCCAGAGAATGACACACATCGCGGTCGAAAGGAACCGGAGAAAGCAAATGAATGAGCATCTCCGAGTGCTCAGATCCCTCATGCCCGGCTCATATGTCCAAAGAGTACGTAACTCAAGAATATTTAGTTATTCTGATGCTAGTTGTCTTCTCTCATCATTTATATATTCTATGAAGGAAAAAAAAACTATTTTGCCTATTCTACTGTACATCGGAAACTTTTGATCTTTTTTATGTTTGATTTCTTTTTTGGAAAATTTTGTAGGGAGATCAGGCTTCAATAATTGGTGGAGCTATAGAGTTTGTGAGGGAATTGGAACAGCTTCTTCAGTGTTTGGAATCGCAGAAAAGGCGAAGACTCCTCGGCGAGGCAGCTCCGCGGCAAGTAGGGCCTGATTCCGGCATGGATGTGGCTCAGACGGCGCAGGCTCATCCGCCGCTTTTTCCTCCTTTGCCTCTGCCCAATGATCAGATGAAGTTCATAGACTTTGAGACCGGTGGGCTCCGGGAAGAGACCGCCGAGAACAAGTCGTGCTTGGCCGATGTGGAGGTGAAGCTGCTAGGGTTTGACGCCATGATCAAGATCTTGTCTCGGAGAAGGCCCGGTCAGCTCATCAAGACGATTGCTGCTTTAGAGGATTTGCAGTTTAATATCCTCCATACTAACATTACCACCATTGAACAGACCGTTCTTTATTCCTTCAATGTCAAGGTATACATATGTGTGTGTATAATATATGTGCTTCAAACTTTGTTTGGAATATATTGATGTTTGTGTTCTATATACTTAAGAATATATTGTGGTGTATATGATGAGCAGGTGACAAGTGATTCAACGTTTAGCGCTGAGGAAATAGCGGGCTCGGTTCAG